ATCAACCCCAGCTGTTTTACGCCATATGCAGCCACGCGCCACCTTCGGCAATGGGCGATCACAGTTCACTTCGTTCCGAATACTAGGACCGGGGCGTTAGTTTGTGTTTCGAGACACAAGCGCGGTCACCTCTGTGTTCAAAGATCCAGCCGTAGTATTGACGAATGGAAGTTCCTTTGACCACCTAGTCCCGACCCGTGCCTTTAAGTCCGCTATCTAGGCAGTTTAGGAAACGGTATTCAGCATAAGAAACTTTGTTGATCTTTTTTTGAATACTGAGCTTTAGACGGTAAAGGGAAGGTCGCCACCCATCAAAGTTCACTAACAACTGATCACTGCATGCTAAACCTGCTCGAGTGATTCAGTGATTCATGTTTCTTATAGAAATATCACTGTAAGCGACGATGGCGCCACTCACACCATCGAAATCAAAGAGATCACACCGGAGCAAGCTGGTGAAATTTCTTGCCAGGTAGGATTACCCTTCCGTATTTCGCTGCGGTATGTAAAACTGAAAAAAGCCGGAGTCTCTGGTTACGGTAATATTTTGTAGGCATCAAACAGCAGTGGTACGAAGAAACAAAACGTGCAGCTGAATGTGAAGCGAGTAGGAGATGCGCCAACATTCTCCAAGAACCTAGAAGATCGTCTTGTTACAGAAGGTGAAGTCACCATAATGGAGGCTAAACTCAATGAGGTAAGCTACTTCTGCCGATCGTCAAGATCTCCTTGTCTCTAAAATCCCAACGCTGCAGGTGAAACCGAAGCCGACAGTAACCTGGCTGCGCGATGGCAAGGAATTCACCAGTGACGACCACTTTGTGCTGAGCCGAGCCGATGACGGCACGCTTCAGCTGAAAATCATCTCGACAGCTATGGAAGACAAATGCCGAATTACCATCAAAGCCGAGAACTACTTCGGAACTGCTGGTGAGTGTGCTCTTCCTAAAGCCATATACTTACTACTAATTGTCCTCTTGACCTCAAATACCTTTCTTCAGAATGCGCTGCTTCACTGGGAGTGGTAAAGAAGCGTCCAATGGCGAAGCCAGCCTTCCAAAGCGATATCGCACCGATCAACCTTACCGAGGGTGACTCGCTACAGACCAAACTTCTCATTACCGGCGATCCGACGCCATTCGTTAAGTGGTACATCAACAATCAGGTGAGGAACAGAAAACGGATTTCTTGCTCGACTTCTGGGATGGTTAGATTCAAGCTATTTCATAATATTTTCGAGTGTAATTGATGAAAAATACTGCAACACTGTAGCCAACTTCCACTATCTTCTAAAATGACAGCTAACAAATGCTTGAAGGGATTATTTTGTTTCAGCTGGTTTGTGAGACAGAAGATACTGAGATCAAAAACGCCGACGGTGTTTATTCGCTTACGATTCATGGTGTCACAGCTGATATGACAGGAAAGATCAGATGTGTCGCATACAATAAGGTGGGTTATTCGAGTGTCCAGGAAGTCACGCATGGCTTACTCATAGTGATAGGCTATTGCGAGATAATGAGGTGCACATTGAATAATAGCTTTAAGTCGGTGTCACACTTTGCGAATCGAACGATTTGCTAGCGATTCGCTCAATTCGCTCGATTCGCAGTTGATTCGCAATGTATGACACAATCGAACCGATTTTCTGAGCGAGTTCCCTTAATTCGCCTCAATTCCGCAGTTGACTTTGCAATGCTTGGATCGGCCTTTGCTGACTGACCTTACGCAACTCTGTTACTTTTCGGCCCCCCGTGAAGATCGACAGAGACCGTCATATGCGAGTCCCAAGAAAGGTTAGAAGCCGAAGACTAGGTCCCCAAAACATTCGCCTGATAGTATATTTAGGGTGCTAGTTGTCACATCGCGATTTGCTAGCGATTCCCTTAAATCGCTCGATTTGCAGTTGATTTGCAATGCCTGACATCGGCCTTGTGACTGACCCTTACGCAACTCTATTACTTTTGCGCCAGCGTGGAAAATCGACTTGAGACCGTCATGTATGCAGTCCCTAGAAAGCTAGAAGGGAAGAACTAGTCCCCCAAAACATTCGCTGATACGTACCAATTTTAGTGCCTATTGTCGACTAGGCTTGCCGATGCTAGGACCACATTCGTATAACTTCGTATAATGTATGCTATACGAAGTTATTACGTCGTATCTGTGCTTCCTTAAACTGTTTACGTATTTCTCCTTTTTGAATGGAGAATTATGCAAGCAGCAATGGATATTTAGCGAGTTCGATTATTGAGCGCCAGTCGATCGGTCTGCTGACCGAAGTCGTAGAACAGCATAACCGCACGCATTCTCAACTATAATACTGTAATAGTTGTCATTTAGATGAAGACCAAGCACTGTCAATGAGTGATTCCAACCCTTAGAAAATGCGAGAATTGTCCAACTAGGATTAAAAAAGAAACTCAACGTGCAGCATGATAGCCGAACCTTGCGTCGATTTATGGGTGATCAGTGCTGATCTAAAACGTAAAGAAATTGCATTACCCGTGAATGAAGGCGGTTTTTCAGATGGGTGAAGTGTCAACAGAAGGTCCACTGAAAGTTGTGGCACCGATTCCGGTGGAATTCGAGACATCGCTTTGTGATGCGACATGCCGCGAAGGTGATACTCTCAAGTGATGGCAGTTCGTTCTTCGGAGAGCCCACACCAGTGGTGTCTGTCGTGTGGAGTTCACTGACTTTAGATGACCTCTCACATAGATCACGGGAAATCTATCTGTGTCTGTGATCTAGGTGTGCTTGAGCGATGATCATGCGTGGGATCACTATATGTCCTCACTTCTGCTCAGAATAAAAGTAATAAGTTCCTCTCTCGCTGCTCTCACTCCTAATTCTGTCAACGGAAACGGAAAGAAGCTGGAAGAGTCGCAAAACATCAAGATTCATTCTGAAAAGGCACCTATACCGTCACCATCAAGGATATCACCTGTGATTACAGCGGAAAGGTGAGCAACGAATTTCATAGAGTATTATGAGAATTCAAAGCCACAAATAGTAGGTCAGATAAAGATAATCAGGTCTTACGGAATAAGGCCGACGTCAGACTTTGCGAATTGAAGCGATCCAGCATTCGCGGTCACGTCGCGGTCAGGCGAGTCGCTTATCCGGCAAAGTCTGACATCGGCTTAACAGAAAAGGTCAAATGAGTTACAGTGGGGTCCGTATCATTGCAGTCTCCTTACCTTCACATCTCAGGTTGGTGTCGCGAAGCGGCTCCAGACGAAGTACGGTTAAAGCGTTCAGAGCCGGAGCGCACATGCTGTTGGTGGCGCTGCCTCGTGTCCGGGAACCGCCAGATTTCTTGAGTGGTTGAGTACGTCCCTCGAGCTCGAAAGAACAAGAAGTCCGTGCATAAAGGTAAGTACTCCCGAAAATCTGCGTCACTGATGACAAAACTTCAACGCTCACAATCAACAGCTTCAATCCTGATGTGCATGTTGGAGAAATTATTTGCAAGGTAGGTTGTGGATTTGAGTTAACAGTGTCTTGAAAGGAAGATATCAATGAAAAATTCGACTGGTTATTTAAGGCAGAAAACGACGCCGGAGAGGTGTCATGTACAGCAAATATGGTCACCTACACGAGCGAGATGTTCAGTGAGAGCGAATCTGAAGCACAAGCTGAAGATGTGAGACTTCATTTATGATGATTTGTTTAAGTTTTCAAAAAGTCCCTCAATGCTGGGCGACATTTTAGAAGCCTAAAACTTGTCCGTCCATTTCTCAACCTCTCATCCACGATTCAGGTGATCGCTGACGACATGACGCTCACTGACGACGAGTCACTTCGTGAAGAGCTGGTGCGAACACCCACACCAGTTATGGCTCCGAAGTTCATCACAAAAATCAAGGACTCAAGGGCAAAACGTGGTCACGAGGCTATTTTCGAATGTGTTGTACCAGACACCAAAGGCGTGTGCTGTAAATGGTAAGGTTCTAGGGTCATGGATGCAGTTGCCATATCCCCAATAATACTGCTCGTTCAGGCTCAAAGACGGCAAAGAAATCGAGCTCATCGCCCGAATTCGCGTGCAGACTCGAACTATCGAGGGTCATGTGGCCCATGAACTGATCATTGGTACGTTCAGTATTGGGTTCTGCGTGCAGTAGCACCCCAGATGTCGGGAATTTTTCCCACTCGTTTTGGCTTTTCAAACACTCATTTGAAGATTCTTGAGAGCTGTGGTTGATTTTTGTATATTGATCACGTAGGGAGCTCTGTTAGAAAAGGACAAGCAATAGTATCCTATCGAGGAGCAGTGAGGAAGCTAATCTGGGTAGACGAGAAGCCCTCAGAGACCCAGAGATGCTGTTGCCCGCGAGCAATAAAAGCTTAAATATTGGTCACAATAGGGCTTGTCCTAGACAATGTTTTGCCTTCACATTCCATCGAAGTCACACTTAGCATAAAATCACATTTCTCAAGTGTGCGGAACAATTTGCAGTCACAAGCAGCTTTGGCTTCTGGAGGACCTCAAGCCTTTTAGAACAAGCTGCTTTGAACAATATGAACATCGCAAAAATGTCTAAGCATGAGAAAATTTGAGCGGCATTCTCAAAAATTAAACAATTGCAGATGATGTACGTCCAGAAGATGCTGGCAAATACACAGTAATTGTGGAGAACACCGCTGGCCAAGATCGATGCGAAGCAACCCTTGACAGTTGTTGGTGAGTAGATAGAGACCGCAAGACCATTTCCTTGAATAAGTGAGAGAACAATATTATTCATACTTACGAACAGTCCTCTGACCAAGATGCCAGATCGGGAGCCCTGCACCGTTCATCGTACAACTGCAAGCAAAGTCCACCATTGACAAAACGAGCAAGTCACTCGTATCCGTAATGCAAAGTACTGTCGGACGAACCACGAACCACGAGAAGTCATTTGGTACCACGAGAATGTGAGTTTGAGCTGGAGCAATTTGAATTTTTTTGCAAAAGCGCCACCCATTCAGAAAAAAACCCTGCTCACTAAGGATTCCCTTTATCCGATACATAAGCTGCTTCTCAGCTTTACCACTTTTCCGGTTGTCTCTGGGTTTTTCTCGAACAAAACTAGACCGAAAGTTTGGAATTGATGCTATAAAGCAATATCCACGCAGAGCGGCTGGAACTACGCTGGCATTGTCATGGCCATTGGGATTTGCTGTTAGTACATCTCTGGCTCCCCCACACGACTGGGCCCATCCACTGCCAAACCTTGACCCGACCATACGTCAGCCTTGCCTCTCTTCACAGGTAAATACCGAATTTCATGACCTCTAGACAAAACCTGAGCAACCACACCAGCAGGCGCTCAAAATTGACCACCTGACCTGCCCACACTTCCTTGCTCTGCCCCTATCGTCGTTCTCACATGCACCTAACCTTACACCCTTACTGGACCAGGTATTGTTACTCCGCGCTGCAACCACCATGTGATCGCCGGCCACACGCCGCCCAGGCGAATAGCGGTATTACGTAGGCTTGTCTGCGAACAGCAGGTAGGACTTGGGAGTAAGTATGGTGCTTCTCTGTCATCAATATCCAACAGAAGAAGACCGCGTTCATCAGTGCCACGACAAACTTTGACAAACCCCCGCCCCTTCCCGATCCATATAGGAGTCCCTGCACAAAGAGCCACATGGACCCCATGGGAGCTCGCACAGTCCGCTGAAAATCAGGGAAAAAAAATGCGAAACAACAACCCCGAGCAAGGATGTGGCTATATTTAGGGGAAGGGGTCTCGGGACGTGTGAACCATGGGTAAGCCACCCATCAAATAGTAAACTTATGTAAATTAAGACAAAGTGTATGTAAAATTTATTGTAGGTTTGTCAAAAATCCACTCGTCCAGGTCCTGGGAAGATATGTTATTCCATGCTGACGGTATATACGGGCATATAAGATATGTTAGAAAAAGTAACAAAGATCAAGCCGGAACGTGCTGGCGCACGCTGTTCCGTATAATGGGTTAATAGTCCGCGTTAGCAGATCCGCAACGCCCACCCCCCACCCCAGAGTCAACCCTGCGTTGCGCAGTTCGCAACGGCACGTTGAGAGATCCTCAACGCACGCTGTATGGGCGGAGACACAGACGGCTCGAGCATGCGAGTGTGAATGTTCGCGCGAGAGAACGTGTCTAATCGGGCGAAACTGCGCAACGTGGCCGTTGAGAACTGCGCAACGCACGGTTGACTCTGCGGGAGGTCATTGGATTACTGAGGCGACTTCCCGTGTGGCTGAAGGAGGTTCAAACAAACCGAACTGACCGCCAGATCCGCCGCCTTTTCATACGCGGACAGACAGACAGTTTTGTTGAATGTTAAATTTGGTCTTAGGCCGCAAAATCGGCCTTTCTATAGAGCGGTATCAATAGAGAATGGAATAACGCTAACATAGTAATTCGAAAGCGGTACGTTTGTGTCTAATGAGAAGGCGTTATAATCGCCACTCTATGAGACACAGGCAGGCTTGATAGGTGATTAAGGGTGTGGTTGCAGAACTGTAGCTAGTACACATGTGTGAAGCCGCGATTAATTTGCTTGAATTTCAGAAAGTTCTTGAAGAGCACGCGAGGGAAGTATTCATAGAAAGCGAAGATGGCATCGAGCGACTCGTCATCACTTCGACTCAGGCATGTCGATGATTTTCTATATTTATAACTACCTCAGCTATTGACCACACTGTTTAGGTGAAGCACGAAGGAAAGTACAGCTGCGTCGCTCAAAACGTCGCTGGAACTAGCCGTACAGAGGCCACGCTCAAAGTCGAAGAATGTGAGTATTACGGATCAATAGATTTCTTATTCCCGTTTTCCTTGAATCTAGCCATTCGATTCAAATATTTTCCTTGTTTTTGATTCGTTAATCACTCTTGCACTATTAATCACAAAGCACTGTTAACTCTTCTTTTCTATTTTCTGAAAGTTTTCCCATGTGTGGATCCAGTCAATTCCAAAACTGAACCTTCAGTTTACGAAGCAACTGGCACTATTTAATTTACTGCCCCACTTGGCAAAAACAGCCGGATTTCAATCAAAATTACACCAAGGTCAAGGATTCGGCTAAGGAGTTGTCTTCAGGAGTATTCCAGCCCGTAGAATACGAATAGCACATTAGTTTAGCGCCAAACCCCCTGGCGATCATGCCACAGGAGCCTAGAACAATCATAACTAGTTTTGGGCGAGCCGTAGAACAACAAACTCACGTACCAACTCTCGCATACTTGCATATGTTGCATATTTGGGTTCGTATGTCGTCCATGATCCTCAGCGGCGAGCACACGCTTCCCTCCATTTTTGACGATCTTGAGCGGTTTGGGCCCAGTGTTGGCCCGCATCTTCTTGAAGTTTCTTCAGGGAGTCTCTCCATCGTGTTGCAGGACGGCCAAGTGTGCGCTTCACGTCTCGTGGATACCAGAACGTAACGCGTGTGGTCCACCGATCATCCATGCGTCTGACCACATGTCCGGCCCATCGTTTCTTTGCGTCCCACGTATACACCGCGACATAACGGATACCGGACATTGAGCTTATGTCCTGTGCTGCGCAAGTCGCGGTTTATCTGCTCCCAGGCGGTTAACGTTCAGCAATGTCCGCTCCAGCGCTCTTTGTGCGCGAGTCAACATCATCGTAGACGTCTTGTTCTCCGCCCACGTCTCGGATGCGTAGCAGAGTGCGGGCAGTACCGTAGAGTCGAATAGGTCAGCTCGTATCTTCTTGTCCGAGATGAGCTGAGCCGCCTCTTTGATGCTTCCCATTGCCGTCCATGCGCATTTCTTGCGCCTCATGATCTCTGCGCGCAAGTTGTTGTCCACGGAGATGAGTTGAGTTGATTAAGGTAGACGCAGCAGTCAAGGAGTGTGGCACCTCCGAGTATGAAAGGTGAAGCATACGCCCATTCCGTTCCGCATGACCTTTGTCTTGTTCCGGTTCATCGTGAGGCCAATGGCTCTGCCGACATCATCCAATTTCTTCACTCACACCAACTGGTGTGATAATTACGTTCTATGGGTCACCCCGTTCGTAACGATGGATTTCCAGCAAACATGGTGATCCATGATGCTCTGGCGCCTTTTGGCGCCGGCCCCTGAACGTAAGCGTCAGGCGTTTCCGAGTTACACTAATGTGACGATCGTGTTTAAATAAACCTGGAGGCAAGTTTCTAGGTAGATCCTTAGTCGTGGACAATGTCGGTAAAAATCTGGCTACGTCTCAGAGAAGTGGGGCAGTAAAGGGTAAGTAGTGCCAGCAATTTTGGAGCTTATGAGACTTGGTCCGCACCTCTGTTAAAGTGTGTTGCATCCCTCAACTAACTGCATTACAGCACTCGCACCCACATTCACAAAATGGCTCACGGATCAGTCGATATCGGTCGGCGAACAGTTAATTCTTTTCTGTGCGGTGAAAGGTATACCTCAACCTACCGTAGAGTTCTATCGTGAGAACGTTAGAATTACATCGTCAACTCGGATCTCCGTCGAGCACGACATAACAAATACGTACTGGAGATTAATGATCAAAGAAACGAGTAAAGAAGACTTCGGATCATATCGAGCTGTTGCGAAGAATACAGCTGGTGCAGCTATTTCTACTGCTAAAGTTTCGTCGAAAATGACAGCACCTATATTTGAGCAAGGGTTAAGACGGACAGAAGTTGTGGAAAGAGAGGAAATCCGCCTAGAAGCGAAGATCACCGGTACGCAGCCAGTAGTCGCATGGTTTAAGGACGGTGAATTAATCCAGGAAGACCAAACACGTGAGATTCGCCAAGACTTCTCGTCCTGCACGTACTCCCTGGTCATAAGGGAATCCCAATGTTCCGACACAGGATGGTACACGGTAAGAGCGACCAACACGGTAGGAACTCGTGAGAGCTCTGCCGAAGTAAAGGTGACTGAGATTACAGAGAAGCCTTCACTAGTCAAGGGACTTGTGTTTACTGAGGTAAAACTAAATGAAACAGCAACAATGTCGGTAATCGTGAGAGGAGCACCAGCTCCACAAGTCACTTGGAAGAAGGATGGTCAACCACTCACTATCGATGGTACACACATCACTTCTACGAAAATTTCTGAATCCGAATATTCACTATCGATACATTCTTGCACACTTCAAGACATCGGCTTGTATACCTGTGAAGCAACGAACACCGCGGGTTCTGTTCAGAGCTCAGCAAACTTAGCAGTCAAACAGGAACCCGAGGCACCGCTGTTTACTAAAGAGCTGCAAGCAATACAGATCAAGGAAAGCGAAACAGTGAATCTGTCTGTGACTGTCACAGGATCACCAGAACCCAAGGTTGTTTGGTTCAAAGATGATGTGCCCATTGAAGTTGACAATGTTCACATTCTGACCAGGGAAGAGGGTCGCGGTCATTTCACATTGACCATCAAGGACTCCCAAGTAACGGATATTGGAAGCTATTCTTGCAAAGCCACAAACATTGCTGGAGAAGCTCGCACAGAAGCAACTGTCAACGTTACCAAAGAGGCTGTAGCTCCCCAGTTCGTTGAGGTTTTGAGACCGATACATGTCAAAGAAAGCGAAACCTTGAATCTGTCTGTGACTGTCACAGGATCACCAGAACCCAAGGTTGTTTGGTTCAAAGATGATGTGCCCATTGAAGTTGACAATGTTCACATTCTGACCAGGGAAGAGGGTCGCGGTCATTTCACATTGACCATCAAGGACTCCCAAGTAACGGATATTGGAAGCTATTCTTGCAAAGCCACAAACATTGCTGGAGAAGCTCGCACAGAAGCAACTGTCAACGTTACCAAAGAGGCTGTAGCTCCCCAGTTCGTTGAGGTTTTGAGACCGATACATGTCAAAGAAAGCGAAACCTTGAATCTGTCTGTGACTGTCACAGGATCACCAGAACCCAAGGTTGTTTGGTTCAAAGATGATGTGCCCATTGAAGTTGACAATGTTCACATTCTGACCAGGGAAGAGGGTCGCGGTCATTTCACATTGACCATCAAGGACTCCCAAGTAACGGATATTGGAAGCTATTCTTGCAAAGCCACAAACATTGCTGGAGAAGCTCGCACAGAAGCAACTGTCAACGTTACCAAAGAGGCTGTAGCTCCCCAGTTCGTTGAGGTTTTGAGACCGATACATGTCAAAGAAAGCGAAACCTTGAATCTGTCTGTGACTGTCACAGGATCACCAGAACCCAAGGTTGTTTGGTTCAAAGATGATGTGCCCATTGAAGTTGACAATGTTCACATTCTGACCAGGGAAGAGGGTCGCGGTCATTTCACATTGACCATCAAGGACTCCCAAGTAACGGATATTGGAAGCTATTCTTGCAAAGCCACAAACATTGCTGGAGAAGCTCGCACAGAAGCAACTGTCAACGTTACCAAAGAGGCTGTAGCTCCCCAGTTCGTTGAGGTTTTGAGACCGATACATGTCAAAGAAAGCGAAACCTTGAATCTGTCTGTGACTGTCACAGGATCACCAGAACCCAAGGTTGTTTGGTTCAAAGATGATGTGCCCATTGAAGTTGACAATGTTCACATTCTGACCAGGGAAGAGGGTCGCGGTCATTTCACATTGACCATCAAGGACTCCCAAGTAACGGATATTGGAAGCTATTCTTGCAAAGCCACAAACATTGCTGGAGAAGCTCGCACAGAAGCAACTGTCAACGTTACCAAAGAGGCTGTAGCTCCCCAGTTCGTTGAGGTTTTGAGACCGATACATGTCAAAGAAAGCGAAACCTTGAATCTGTCTGTGACTGTCACAGGATCACCAGAACCCAAGGTTGTTTGGTTCAAAGATGATGTGCCCATTGAAGTTGACAATGTTCACATTCTGACCAGGGAAGAGGGTCGCGGTCATTTCACATTGACCATCAAGGACTCCCAAGTAACGGATATTGGAAGCTATTCTTGCAAAGCCACAAACATTGCTGGAGAAGCTCGCACAGAAGCAACTGTCAACGTTACCAAAGAGGCTGTAGCTCCCCAGTTCGTTGAGGTTTTGAGACCGATACATGTCAAAGAAAGCGAAACCTTGAATCTGTCTGTGACTGTCACAGGATCACCAGAACCCAAGGTTGTTTGGTTCAAAGATGATGTGCCCATTGAAGTTGACAATGTTCACATTCTGACCAGGGAAGAGGGTCGCGGTCATTTCACATTGACCATCAAGGACTCCCAAGTAACGGATATTGGAAGCTATTCTTGCAAAGCCACAAACATTGCTGGAGAAGCTCGCACAGAAGCAACTGTCAACGTTACCAAAGAGGCTGTAGCTCCCCAGTTCGTTGAGGTTTTGAGACCGATACATGTCAAAGAAAGCGAAACCTTGAATCTGTCTGTGACTGTCACAGGATCACCAGAACCCAAGGTTGTTTGGTTCAAAGATGATGTGCCCATTGAAGTTGACAATGTTCACATTCTGACCAGGGAAGAGGGTCGCGGTCATTTCACATTGACCATCAAGGACTCCCAAGTAACGGATATTGGAAGCTATTCTTGCAAAGCCACAAACATTGCTGGAGAAGCTCGCACAGAAGCAACTGTCAACGTTACCAAAGAGGCTGTAGCTCCCCAGTTCGTTGAGGTTTTGAGACCGATACATGTCAAAGAAAGCGAAACCTTGAATCTGTCTGTGACTGTCACAGGATCACCAGAACCCAAGGTTGTTTGGTTCAAAGATGATGTGCCCATTGAAGTTGACAATGTTCACATTCTGACCAGGGAAGAGGGTCGCGGTCATTTCACATTGACCATCAAGGACTCCCAAGTAACGGATATTGGAAGCTATTCTTGCAAAGCCACAAACATTGCTGGAGAAGCTCGCACAGAAGCAACTGTCAACGTTACCAAAGAGGCTGTAGCTCCCCAGTTCGTTGAGGTTTTGAGACCGATACATGTCAAAGAAAGCGAAACCTTGAATCTGTCTGTGACTGTCACAGGATCACCAGAACCCAAGGTTGTTTGGTTCAAAGATGATGTGCCCATTGAAGTTGACAATGTTCACATTCTGACCAGGGAAGAGGGTCGCGGTCATTTCACATTGACCATCAAGGACTCCCAAGTAACGGATATTGGAAGCTATTCTTGCAAAGCCACAAACATTGCTGGAGAAGCTCGCACAGAAGCAACTGTCAACGTTACCAAAGAGGCTGTAGCTCCCCAGTTCGTTGAGGTTTTGAGACCGATACATGTCAAAGAAAGCGAAACCTTGAATCTGTCTGTGACTGTCACAGGATCACCAGAACCCAAGGTTGTTTGGTTCAAAGATGATGTGCCCATTGAAGTTGACAATGTTCACATTCTGACCAGGGAAGAGGGTCGCGGTCATTTCACATTGACCATCAAGGACTCCCAAGTAACGGATATTGGAAGCTATTCTTGCAAAGCCACAAACATTGCTGGAGAAGCTCGCACAGAAGCAACTGTCAACGTTACCAAAGAGGCTGTAGCTCCCCAGTTCGTTGAGGTTTTGAGACCGATACATGTCAAAGAAAGCGAAACCTTGAATCTGTCTGTGACTGTCACAGGATCACCAGAACCCAAGGTTGTTTGGTTCAAAGATGATGTGCCCATTGAAGTTGACAATGTTCACATTCTGACCAGGGAAGAGGGTCGCGGTCATTTCACATTGACCATCAAGGACTCCCAAGTAACGGATATTGGAAGCTATTCTTGCAAAGCCACAAACATTGCTGGAGAAGCTCGCACAGAAGCAACTGTCAACGTTACCAAAGAGGCTGTAGCTCCCCAGTTCGTTGAGGTTTTGAGACCGATACATGTCAAAGAAAGCGAAACCTTGAATCTGTCTGTGACTGTCACAGGATCACCAGAACCCAAGGTTGTTTGGTTCAAAGATGATGTGCCCATTGAAGTTGACAATGTTCACATTCTGACCAGGGAAGAGGGTCGCGGTCATTTCACATTGACCATCAAGGACTCCCAAGTAACGGATATTGGAAGCTATTCTTGCAAAGCCACAAACATTGCTGGAGAAGCTCGCACAGAAGCAACTGTCAACGTTACCAAAGAGGCTGTAGCTCCCCAGTTCGTTGAGGTTTTGAGACCGATACATGTCAAAGAAAGCGAAACCTTGAATCTGTCTGTGACTGTCACAGGATCACCAGAACCCAAGGTTGTTTGGTTCAAAGATGATGTGCCCATTGAAGTTGACAATGTTCACATTCTGACCAGGGAAGAGGGTCGCGGTCATTTCACATTGACCATCAAGGACTCCCAAGTAACGGATATTGGAAGCTATTCTTGCAAAGCCACAAACATTGCTGGAGAAGCTCGCACAGAAGCAACTGTCAACGTTACCAAAGAGGCTGTAGCTCCCCAGTTCGTTGAGGTTTTGAGACCGATACATGTCAAAGAAAGCGAAACCTTGAATCTGTCTGTGACTGTCACAGGATCACCAGAACCCAAGGTTGTTTGGTTCAAAGATGATGTGCCCATTGAAGTTGACAATGTTCACATTCTGACCAGGGAAGAGGGTCGCGGTCATTTCACATTGACCATCAAGGACTCCCAAGTAACGGATATTGGAAGCTATTCTTGCAAAGCCACAAACATTGCTGGAGAAGCTCGCACAGAAGCAACTGTCAACGTTACCAAAGAGGCTGTAGCTCCCCAGTTCGTTGAGGTTTTGAGACCGATACATGTCAAAGAAAGCGAAACCTTGAATCTGTCTGTGACTGTCACAGGATCACCAGAACCCAAGGTTGTTTGGTTCAAAGATGATGTGCCCATTGAAGTTGACAATGTTCACATTCTGACCAGGGAAGAGGGTCGCGGTCATTTCACATTGACCATCAAGGACTCCCAAGTAACGGATATTGGAAGCTATTCTTGCAAAGCCACAAACATTGCTGGAGAAGCTCGCACAGAAGCAACTGTCAACGTTACCAAAGAGGCTGTAGCTCCCCAGTTCGTTGAGGTTTTGAGACCGATACATGTCAAAGAAAGCGAAAACCTTGAATCTGTCTGTGACTGTCACAGGATCACCAGAACCCAAGGTTGTTTGGTTCAAAGATGATGTGCCCATTGAAGTTGACAATGTTCACATTCTGACCAGGGAAGAGGGTCGCGGTCATTTCACATTGACCATCAAGGACTCCCAAGTAACGGATATTGGAAGCTATTCTTGCAAAGCCACAAACATTGCTGGAGAAGCTCGCACAGAAGCAACTGTCAACGTTACCAAAGAGGCTGTAGCTCCCCAGTTCGTTGAGGTTTTGAGACCGATACATGTCAAAGAAAGCGAAACCTTGAATCTGTCTGTGACTGTCACAGGATCACCAGAACCCAAGGTTGTTTGGTTCAAAGATGATGTGCCCATTGAAGTTGACAATGTTCACATTCTGACCAGGGAAGAGGGTCGCGGTCATTTCACATTGACCATCAAGGACTCCCAAGTAACGGATATTGGAAGCTATTCTTGCAAAGCCACAAACATTGCTGGAGAAGCTCGCACAGAAGCAACTGTCAACGTTACCAAAGAGGCTGTAGCTCCCCAGTTCGTTGAGGTTTTGAGACCGATACATGTCAAAGAAAGCGAAACCTTGAATCTGTCTGTGACTGTCACAGGATCACCAGAACCCAAGGTTGTTTGGTTCAAAGATGATGTGCCCATTGAAGTTGACAATGTTCACATTCTGACCAGGGAAGAGGGTCGCGGTCATTTCACATTGACCATCAAGGACTCCCAAGTAACGGATATTGGAAGCTATTCTTGCAAAGCCACAAACATTGCTGGAGAAGCTCGCACAGAAGCAACTGTCAACGTTACCAAAGAGGCTGTAGCTCCCCAGTTCGTTGAGGTTTTGAGACCGATACATGTCAAAGAAAGCGAAACCTTGAATCTGTCTGTGACTGTCACAGGATCACCAGAACCCAAGGTTGTTTGGTTCAAAGATGATGTGCCCATTGAAGTTGACAATGTTCACATTCTGACCAGGGAAGAGGGTCGTGGTCATTTCACATTGACCATCAAGGACTCCCAAGTAACGGATATTGGAAGCTATTCTTGCAAAGCCACAAACATTGCTGGAGAAGCTCGCACAGAAGCAACTGTCAACGTTACCAAAGAGGCTGTAGCTCCCCAGTTCGTTGAGGTTTTGAGACCGATACATGTCAAAGAAAGCGAAACCTTGAATCTGTCTGTGACTGTCACAGGATCACCAGAACCCAAGGTTGTTTGGTTCAAAGATGATGTGCCCATTGAAGTTGACAATGTTCACATTCTGACCAGGGAAGAGGGTCGCGGTCATTTCACATTGACCATCAAGGACTCCCAAGTAACGGATATTGGAAGCTATTCTTGCAAAGCCACAAACATTGCTGGAGAAGCTCGCACAGAAGCAACTGTCAACGTTACCAAAGAGGCTGTAGCTCCCCAGTTCGTTGAGGTTTTGAGACCGATACATGTCAAAGAAAGCGAAACCTTGAATCTGTCTGTGACTGTCACAGGATCACCAGAACCCAAGGTTGTTTGGTTCAAAGATGATGTGCCCATTGAAGTTGACAATGTTCACATTCTGACCAGGGAAGAGGGTCGCGGTCATTTCACATTGACCATCAAGGACTCCCAAGTAACGGATATTGGAAGCTATTCTTGCAAAGCCACAAACATTGCTGGAGAAGCTCGCACAGAAGCAACTGTCAACGTTACCAAAGAGGCTGTAGCTCCCCAGTTCGTTGAGGTTTTGAGACCGATACATGTCAAAGAAAGCGAAACCTTGAATCTGTCTGTGACTGTCACAGGATCACCAGAACCCAAGGTTGTTTGGTTCAAAGATGATGTGCCCATTGAAGTTGACAATGTTCACATTCTGACCAGGGAAGAGGGTCGCGGTCATTTCACATTGACCATCAACGGACGTACGAATTACTGATAGTGGAGTCTACTCTTGCAAGGCAAGGAGTGAAGCTGGTGAAACTCGTACGGATGGGAAGGTTGATGTTGAAGTTCGTCGTGAACTGGAAAGTAAGTATACTAATCGTTTGGTTTTAAAACAGAAGGAATTTCGATGGGTTCGTTTGCGATGTTTTCTGATCTGAGTTGATTTTGGTTTTTAATCCATTAACTTCCTGTACAACTTAATGCGAATATGCCAAAATTTTGATATTCCTCCTGTCATCTTTCCTTTTAATGGATGCAGATCGAAGCCTCCTCCCACTATTCCTTCACATAACATCCTAGAGGAGAAAATCGACCTGCATTCCATTTTTGTATGTTCGTGTCTTTCAACTAACTGATTTACAGCACTCGCACCCACCTTCACAAAATCGCTCGCGGATCAATCAATATCGATCGGTGACCAACTGGTTCTTTTCTGCTCTGTGAAAGGTGCTCCTCAGCCAACCGTGGAGTTTTACCGTGAAGGCGTGAGAATCAAGTCCTCCACACGAATCGCAATTGAGCATGATAAAACGAACACTCACTGGAGAGTTCTTATCAAGCAGTCTACTCAAGAAGACTTCGGCAAATACCGTGCTCTCGCAAAGAACACTGTGGGATCCGCCATTTCTGAAGCTACAGTATCGACGAAGACTGATGTACCAGTATTTGAGCAAGGTTTGAAGCGTACATCAGTTAAAGAGAAGGAAGAGATCCGCATGGAAGTCAAGGTCAGCGGAACGCAACCAGAAGTCTCGTGGTTCAAAGATGGTCAACCAATTCAACAAGATATAATTCACGAAATCACTCAGGAAGCTTCTACTGGTGTCTATTCTCTGATAGTCAAAGAAGCTTCAATGTCTGACGCGGGAAGATACACAGTGAAAGCTACGAACATAGCAGGAAGCGTTGAGAGTTCCGCTGAAGTGGAGGTAACCCAAAGCTTTGAAAAGCCAACATTTGTCAAGGAACTGGTGTCGACTGAGGTAAAGGTCAACGAGACTGCAACGCTCTCGGTGACGGTGAAAGGTGCTCCTACTCCAGATGTCACATGGAAAAAGGATGGTCAACCCGTTAACATTGACAACACACACATTATGTCCAAAAAGGAGCCCGATGGGACCTTCTCCATTACAATTTCTTCTGCGAAGTATTGAAGACGTTGGCAAATATACCTGCGAGGCAACTAATGTTGCTGGTTCCGTGGAATGTTCAGCAAATTTCGCAGTAGTAAAGGATATTGAAGCGCCACAGTTCACTGAAAAATTGCAACCTCTAGAAATCAAGGAAAGTGAAAGTGCCACTCTTTCTGTCACTGTCACAGGAAGTCCTCAACCTAAAGTGCAATGGTTCAAAGACGACGTCCCAATTCAAATCGACAATGTTCATCTCTTTGCTAAAGAAGAAGGTAGCGGTCACTATGTGCTCACCATAAAAGATTCGAGAATAGTTGACCAAGGAAGCTACTCGTGCAAAGCAACCAACGAAGCTGGAGAAGCTCGCACCGAGGCAACAGTTCACGTTGCTAAGGAATCCATAGCTCCTCAGTTCACCGAAATTTTGAGACCAATACATGTCAAAGAAACCGAAACCTCAATCTTTCTGTGACTGTCACTGGATCACCAGAACCCAAAGTTACATGGTTCAAAGACGATGTGCCCATCCAAATTGACAATGTTCACATTCTGACCAGGGAAGAGGGTCGCGGTCATTTCACATGACCATCAGAGGACTCCCAAGTAACGGATATTGGAAGCTATTCTTGCAAAGCCACAAATGATTGCTGGAGAAGCTCGCACCGAAGCAACAGTCCAACGTTGCAAAAGAATCTGTTGCTCCGCAGTTCGTTGAGGTTTTGAGACCGATACATGTCAAAGAAAGCGAAACCTTGAATCTGTCTGTGACTGTCACTGGATCACCAGAACCCAAAGTTACATGGTTCAAAGACGATGTGCCCATCCAAATCGACAATGTCCATGTTCTTTCCAAGGATGAGGGTCACGGTCACTTCACTCTGACCGTAAGAGACGCTCGTGTGTCAGATGTTGGCAGCTATTCCTGCAAAGCTACTAATGAAGCTGGTGAAGCGAAAACAGAAGCAAAAATGGCCGTTGTAGAAGACCTGGTTCTACCGCACTTCACTGAAGGATTGAAACCACTTGAGGTGGATGAGGGTAAACCAGCAGAACTGACATGTACTGTAGTTGGTAAACCAGAGCCAGAGATAACTTGGCTGAAGAATGGCGTTCCTGTTCAAATAGACGGTTCAAATGTCATCAGAAAAGACTCCGAAGGTCAACATACTTTAATAATAAAGAATCTACGAACGGAAGATGTTGGCTCCTACTCCTGTGAGGCCGTTAATAAGGCTGGCAAAGATGTGACAATAGCTGATTTGAAGATACCTAAGTACGGATTCGAGAAGCCCAAAGTCGAAGAAGTACAACCGTTGTTCATCGAGCCGCTGAAGGAAACTGTCGCCTCGCAAGGGGAGACAGTGGTGCTCGAATGTCGTGTGAACACGGAGTCACAACCAGAAATTCAGTGGTACAAAGACGACAAACCCATTGAACTTAGCCAACATATGGTATTTGAAACGCTTGACGACGGCAAAATCAAGTTGACAATTCACAACGCAACCAAAGAAGATGTCGGTTCGTATCGTTGCGAAGCAGTGAACAAAGTCGGCAAAGCGGAAACGCACGCCAATCTACAGTACGCTGTGACTGTGCAGGAAACGGTTACCGACGAAAGCGAGCAGCTACACGAAATGGTTGCGGAGACGATCACCACCACCGGTGATTTCTTTTTCTTTTACTTTTCTCACAGCACAATGCACGTTTTTTTATCCTTTTGTACTTGCTTGCTACCGATACCGTAACATTAAGTGTCTTAATTGTCACTGACTTTTATCATAGTTATGTTTGCAGCAGCTGTAGAGACAAAGGCCGGTAGAGGCCCACCGGAATTTGTAGAACTATTGCGATCGTGCACTGTCACCGAAAAACAGCAAGCCGTTCTCCGCTGTAAAGTGAAGGGCGAGCCACGACCAAAAATAAAATGGACCAAAGAGGGCAAGGAGGTTCGTGACAGCTTCAGTGTGGTTCGCTAGAACAGAAGGCGACTTTTCCGGTTTTCGCAATGCGCAACTTTTTTCGCTGCGGGAACCCCAGGTCCACTACTGATCAGAAGCGGACCTGGGGTTCCGTAGCGAAAAAGTTTCGCGCTGCGAAAAGCGGAAAAGTCGCCTTCTGTCTAGCGAACCGCATCCTGATATCGGATAAAAGACCAGGAAAAATAAAATACTTATTTAGGTGGAAATGTCCGCACGAATCAAATCAGAGTTCAAAGAAGACGGCACGTTGACGTTGACGGTCGACAATGTCACTCAACAAGATGCTGGAGAATATACAGGTGAGCTGCTGTTGCCAATTGAGTCGAATATACTCGGGTATGTGGCATCACGAGAGAACGCGACGTCTCCCTGAAGCAATCTAATGGCGGATGCATAGGTGGTCGTCCGATCGTAATGATCGTAACGATCGCTACAAAGTTTAGACGTATCGGTCGTCCAATGGCCGATGTCAGACTTTGCGATTGGAGCGATTTTGCACCCAATTGCAGGAGCGACGGATCGCTCAAGCGATGCGAGCGACGGGAGATTTACCCGAGCGGCGCCGTGTGTATCGGTATTCGGCGGGGTAAATCTCCCGTCGCTCGCATCGCTCAAGCGATCCGTCGCTCCTGCAATTGGTGCAAAATCGCTCCAATCGCAAAGTCTGACATCGGCCATTCGCGACAGTCGACGAATCGATACGCATCCGATGCTGTGCGATCGTAACGAACGTACGAACTATGAATGCGCCCTAACTCGGGTACTGCGTGTGCTGGGTGGGATACGCAACGCTATATACCTGTTTTCGTGACGGACACCACACCTGGGATGCGGTACGCAAAACACTCAACACCGAATTCAGACGCAGTGGACACCTTCGCCTCTGACACAATGTGCACACCCATATGCACCCCTCATATGTAGAACGCAATTAGCGGACCTCACAACCATGTTTGATAACATCTAAAAAAATAGAGGTCACGAAAGAACGCCTTCGCCATAATCTTATATTGGCAATCATCATTAACGGACACTAGAAACTCACCCTTCTTCAACTGATTCGCGTCCAAGCTTGCGTATGCTAGAGAAACGCACATCGATTACACACAAGCGCAACCAAACCCTGAAACATTCGTCCACAGTAGCGAGGTGGGTCGTAAATGCAGACTTAGCAATACGGACGTCACATCAGTAACCGCCTCTGCGCTGCGCGTCGAAAGGACTACTTGAAACTCAGCCCGTTTTTACCAGGGTCAACCGTTACGTTGGACCGATATTGGAGCGACGTTGGACCGATGTTCACCGCTCTCCGCGCCGGCATTCACTCTCGCCACCCGCGAGCCGTCTGTGTCTCCGTGCGTACGTTCACTCTCGGCATTACTCTCGTCGTCGCGTTGGACTTTGTCCAACGGACGGTTGACCCTGCAGTTAACCCTTCTGCGCTCCCTGGCGGGTTCCCTTGGGTAAGAGAGCTAAGTGTACGGTGTTTCCGCTTGCATAATACAATACAGAAGAAGGCGTTCGGCAGTCACTTACATACAGGATTCAAAGCGGCGAAGTCTGGCGGTCACCAGAAATGATGTGATGGTCACCGCACTTGATAGATGTCGTGTGGATAAAATACTCCGCCATATCAGCAAAGCGTGTTTGGAAACAGCTTATCTGCGCAACTTCTATCAAGTGCGGTGGCTGCCACGTCATTTCCGGAGACATGCCCAATCAGACTTTGAGATGTGGACTGTAAAAAGGAAAAAATAATAACCAACCATGTGTAAGCCTTTCAGAAAGTTGCCAATCCAGTGTAAACTTTGCGTCAGTGCCATGCCGCTGGCGCGTGGCGCGTGTCGCGTGTTTGCGTGCCCTTTCCTATCTATGCAACGGGAAACGCTTATATGGCGCGATGGCATTTGAGCGCACGGGGCGTAATTGCCGCATCCTGCTGTGACGGGACGACTCGTCCGCATCACTCTATACTAAACTGAAGCAACTGAGTGATTTGACAAGATGGATTTCGAAAATCTCGTTGCATCTCAAAGATCTAAAAAAGCGAGCTCATAACTTGTATTGGCCCTGAGCGTAAGGAGAAGTGATAGGGGATCGGAATCGATGGTGCGCAGACGAGTTGTCCGGTGGTTATGAACAATATATGAGTAACCATTTTGTGAACGACATATAATGCCGTAGACGAGCAGATGATGAACACACGCCCAAAGTCACCGTGCGAAAGGTGGTTACCGCACGCGCGGCAGTGGATTGTGGGTCAGAGCCTGGGGATCGCTCGGGCGTGGCAGTAGCGTTGCCCCATTTTGCGCCGCATCTTTGTCTTCCTTTCCTGTCATACACACATTGACATGCTCAGCGTCTTCGCGCGCGACGAGCGCAAGTCACCACGCGGCCGCACACACAAGTGTCGCAAATTCGTCTTCATACGTAGTCCTCATTCATGTTTACTCGCATAAATAGGAAAATAATACCTTCTTTTTTATTCCACTCTTTGTGAGCTAAAAATTCAACAAATACCATTTCAGATGTCAAGCCGAAAACGAGTTAGGCTCTGCTTGGACCGAAGGTCCCATAATAGTGACACTAGTCGGTGCACCCGAGCAAGAAGGAGAAGCGCCCGCGACTTACATCCAACCGATCCGTCACCGCGATGGTTAAGCATGCTACGTTGCTACGCAGGACCTGTGAGGCTGCGACAGGGAGAATTGCTGGCGCGCGGCCAAGAAGCAGAGACGCCAGACGGACGTTAGCGGTGGTCGCGGCGCGTTGCTGTGGATTGGAATGATCGGTTACGAGCATCGACGCGGAATCAATTGCCGTACGCGCACCAACTCGTCCGCTGATCGTCCTGGTCTCTGCCTTCGCACCCGCGATGGGACTCCTTCAGGTATCCCACCTTCAGTGCTTCTAATAGATCTCAAGCAGATTAAGTTTCTTTTTGGGCTGAACTTAATCACTCTAATCTGCCTGCTCTGTTCAGGTAGTAGAAGGCGAGACAGCTGTGCTAGACGTAAGCTTTCAGGAAAACCAAAACCAACCGTGAAATGGTGAGCTGATAGGTTTATGGAAGTCTTTTGGACAAGCCAAAATGTGTGATGATTTCAGGTACAAGAACGGCGAGAACATAAAACCAACCGACCGTTTCGTCATTGATTCGCTCGATGACGGTACTCAGCGACTGACAGTGAAGGACACCACCATGAGCGATATGGGGACGAGTACAGATGCGAGGCTTCGAACGAATATGGAGACGTCTGGAGTGACGTCACTCTGACTGTCAGACGTGAGTAAATTAATGGATTAACATGAAAATATAGGGTTGAACATTCGTTAGTGTATTGGTTCAGAGAAACCTCAAGAAGCACCTTCGTTCACAAAGACACTTGTCGAAGTCGCTGTCGTCGAAGGGGAAACAGCCACCTACGAATGCAAAGTCGCCGGACATCCACAACCTGAAATCAAGTGGTTCAAAGTGAGTAGTCCTTACCTGAACAAGGGATAACCCGGTTATCTGCTTCCATTCCCTTTTTCACCAGTTCCAATTGTTGATCTATCTTCAAAAAATCGTAGTTTTAAAGAGACAATACGGTACTAATGTGTCGGTAAACAGTATTTGAGTACGACAGTTGGGTTGGTTGTATAGCGTAAATATGGCACAAAGAGAGCCTAGGGGTCTAATTAGAGCATTCATGAGGGTATTTGAAATGAGCGGCATCAATCAAGACAAAGCTAGGAAGACAGCGAGCCTCGGGAAATTATTAATGTCCAAGCATCTTGACTTTTCCATCTCCGCCTAAGCTTACCTTAGTCCCTCTTCAACAAAAAAAAAGACACGTTCTTATACCGCGTATTAAATGCCAGCTACCTACTGCCCCCCCCGTATACTGCGATAGCGCCTTATCTGATAAGGCCCACGCATTTTTCGCTAATCCTCGAGGTTCGCTCCGCTTTTATGAAGAGGCCGAGTCGCTCTTCTTTTTAACCCATCGGCGCTCTCACCTTCGCGTAGAGAGCGATACCATCCATGGTAGGGTCAAAATCCAGAACAATGAAGAGGATTATAGCGCGCTGTTAACCCCATCTCTTGAATTTAATACTCGACCATAATACTACCGTATTAGCTGCCTTCAGAAACGAGGTGACTAGGAGGGAACCTAGAAACCTATGTAATTTTATCTAAATTGTAATTCTTTCAGGACAAAGAAGAGATCGCTGCCACTGATGAACACTTCATCCAAACAAAGGAAGCCGACGGTACCGCCCGTCTTGTTATCAAATCCACTAAGGTAGCACATTTTGATGTCTCCACCTGAACTGGTAGCATTTTAAGGCATCACCTTTTCTAGGTGAAAGATTCTGGTGAGATTCGTTGCGAAGCTCGTAACCCTGCTGTAACAGCTCGAACAGACGCACCTCTGACGGTTTCACTACCCGAAGAGGAGGTAAGTCATCTTGAGGCTCGACTTCATTCATTCAAAGGACTACGGATCGGGAAGAAGTTCCGCTTTTATTGGACATTCCCTTTTTGCAGATAGCTCCCGAATTCGCTCAGGAACTTACCGCTTGCCAGGTCATGGAAGGACAATTGGCTAAATTCGAGTGCAAGTCAGTAGTCTATCCATATTAAAATTCCATATCGATTACTTTGCATTAGTCCGATGTCAGACTTTGCGAATCAAGCGAATCGCCACACCAAGTTTTTGTATGCGTTTTTTGCGGACTTTCGCGTGGCCGGTACCAGCGATCTCACTGGCCGCGACGCGACCCGCGACGTTAGCGAATCGCTCGACATCACAAGTCTGGCCATTCGGCCGTTTCTCTATAAGGGGAATGTTTTTAGGGTGAAAGCTGGTCCTCACCCAATAATCAAATGGTTCAAAGATGGTGAAGAATTGAAACCAGGCGATGGTGTTCACATCGAATCCCTTCCGGACGGCACCAATCGGGTTCGATCTTTTTTTGGAGCATTTGCGCGGTGTGTTTCTGTTGAATGTGTACTATCTTTTCAGCTCACCATTGACAAGACCAAAATCGCCGATCAAGGCAATTATCGCGTGGAGGCCACAAACCCTGCTGGTTCGATGAGCAGCAAAGCACCGCTCGCCGTTCAGGGTAAGAGTAGAGCATCTAAAGATTTCGAGCTTCTAAGGGAACCTTAAAAAAAAGCCAAGGGTGGCACCTTGAAAGCAACAGTCCCAGTAGGGTGCGCGTGGTCGGAAACGACTACAATCCTTCTCGGCGATTCCGACCACGCCCACTTCAGCTCCCTCCTAGCGGCTTTCCAAGGTGAGTTTTTGTTCAGTCACACTTCTTACGTTCTTGACTAGGGGCCGAACAGCTCCGAAGTGGGAATCGGCCGAGGGGATTGCAGCCGTTTCCGACCACGCCCACCCTGCTGGGACTGTTGCTTTAAGCTTCACGGTCGATTTTTACGATCCAACGTACTAAATTCATCCACTTGAGGATGGTGCTAGCTCCATGAAGCGAACATTCATTACTCATCTAGCTTATTCGCTGATCGCATCCAATAAAATCAATATTCCAGCACCAGAAACCCTGAAAATCAAGCGGCCATTGCAAGACCTGACTGTCGAAAGAGGCACCAAGATCCTTCTATCTGTTGAAGTCGAAGGTCGACCGAAGACGGTGAAGTGGTACAAGGGTTCAGAGCAAGTCACCACAACTAGGTATCCGGTACAATTATTTTTAAAGGACTCCTTCCTAAAAACTTGTTTCAGAACGACGAAAATCGAGCGCGTTTCTGACCACGAGTATAAACTCGAAGTGGAGAACTGCGAGATGTCGGATGCTGGTGCATATCGTGTTGTTCTGTCAACAGAAAGCGAATCAGGTGGAATCGAGCTGTATCGTCACCGTGAAAGAGAAGGCGGTCAAGGTATCATCATAAGTTCCTTGACATTATAGGTAGTCATCTGTTTCTACGGTAGCTCATCTATTATGATTTTAGGTGCAGTTGCCTTCATTCAAGAAAGGACTTAATGACCAGGCAGTACCAAAGGTTTGCAGTGTTTTTGATGAGGCAATATTCATCTCAGGCATTCACTCGTTAGTTATGACGAATTTTAGGGACAACCGCTGGTGCTTGAAGTCGAAATCGAAGGAACACCAAAGGTTGTGAAGTGGTATAAGAACGGTGACGAACTGAAGAATGCTAAGACAGAAGACCTCGGTAATGGAAAGTATCGTCTCACGATTCCCGACGTGAGTGAACTCTTTTGTGTCATTTTATATTACCCAGAGGCATAGTTCTGCACGGAATCAAAAAAGCTTTCGAGTTATTGGTGAACTAGCCCCCCCCAGCGCGTTGGGGTGTGTGGTTGGAAACGCCGTGGCATAACACCAGCAGTGCACGTTCAACGGCGTCAAAATCGCAGGTACCCGATAGGAAGCCCATCACTCGGCGAGAAGGCAGAGACACAGACGGTTCAGCGGACGAGTCCGGCGCGAGCTGGTGTTTCAGAAGATACTAAGTGCTTGCAGTTCAAATTGACGCGAGATCAGGCTGTACGCGCTGCCGACTCTGCGCACTTCGTTCTGCGGCTCTCCGCTACTGGCCCTGCGCCAACGGGACCCCCTGTCGGGTAGCTCAAAACCGGTTTTTCCTCCAGCCACTTAATCCCTGGAGGTCACAGCAATAACGTTGAGCTCACCGCTGACCAATGAGCACATCTGAACAGGGCTCGGGCGGCTTTGGGTGGGCTACAGCTCTTTTAAAAAATCTCCCAGAGTAAGACAGACTCTCTCGACGCCTCACTGATCCAACTAAAACTGAAGCTGTTGCAACATTTCAACAAGACAAGCGAAAGGAAAGAAAAAGCCATTCGGCCATGAGAAAAAATTTCCGTAGAGACCTTTTGGGGAAAAAGATGGGGATCCAGAAATTCTCTCCGGAAGTGGGGCAAGCCGTTTTTTTTCTTTTTTGAAACCAATAATTGATTTATCGACCAATCATTCAGTTCAAAGAGTCGGACGTTGGAGACTACAGTGTCACTGCTGAGAATGACGTTGGAGAAGTGGAGAGCAAAGCCAAGGTAAGCGGTATACTGTAGCCATGTACTGTGTGAGGGTAAATAGGAACAATGGAACTGATCTCAGTCAGTTTTGTTGCCATTTTTATCTGTTTTGTTAAGGTAACCGTCCAAGAAGCGCCAGATGACGGTAAGGACAAAGCCAAACCAGAAATTGTCTCAGGACTCATTCCAACCTCAGTGAAACAAGGCGAGACGGCCACGTTCACTGTGAAAGTCAAAGGACCCGTCAAAGGCGTCAAATGGTACTGGTATAAACTTTCTGGGTCACAATGACACCTCCTCCACTAACGTAACCCTTTTCAGGTACAAAAATGGTAAAGAGATACCTGATGCTAAAACCAAGGACAAAGGAGACGGTACCTACGAGCTCACTATTCCTGACGCGAAGAAGGACGATGCAGCTGACTACAAGGTTCGTCGTTGATTTTAATAGGCCTGGTTCTTCAGGGACTTCTGGTCTATAAAGAACCCTGTTTGAAATATTAGGTCATTAGCGCTATCGCAATATACGGGGCATTTCGTACACGCCTCTCCACGTTTCGTTGACAGTCTAAAACGTAACTGAGAGTGGCAGAGCTTTAGCAGGACGGATGATTCACTGGCACTGGTTCAAGTACACGTTCAAACCGCTCTCCGGGTATTATCAAGTTCTTAACCACGACTTGACCAGAGTGTACACGTCTAGGCAAATGCCCCCGTATATTGCGATAGCCCTATGGGTGTTTCAACTCAAAGTATTCATTTATACAGGTTGTTGTCTCGAATGACGCTGGCGAAGTGGATTCAGCTGCAGCGCTGACCGTGAAAACACCACAGATCGAAATCGTCAAAGGACTTGAAGACACTACCATACCCCAGAAACAGACCGGTGTGCTCGAAATTGAGACCAGCCGTCCACCAAAGCAGGTCAAATGGTACGAGTTTCTTTGAAGTCGTTTGTTACCTTATTTCGCCTCTAACAAACCAGCGGATTGGAACCTTGCCCTCACCAACTTCCATAATATTCTCCTTTTTTCAGGTACAAGAACGGTAAAGAAATCTCTCCGTCTGATAAGGCACAACCGAAGAAGGTTGGAGATAACAAATATCAACTGGTGATCCCCGATGCTGGAAAGGACGACAGCGCTGATTACAAGGTACGGTAACCCCTTTCTATTTTTCGAAAAATTTCGGCGCAATCGCAAGATAGGGGGTATTGTTATGGCAATGCATTTGAGACCGCGTAAGACATCTCCTTTTGCTGAAATCTCTCTTCATTTGCCTAAGACTAAGGTAAGCCTTAGGCAAAGGAAGAGATTCCAGGGTGCGTAAGCCATTTTCATTTCCCCAGAGTTTGTGCCTCTTGCTACGCTTAGCCCCAGGGTATGCCCCCTGATATTGCGATAGCGCCGAAATTTCTATTGGGAAAATCGGAAGCTGTACAATCTACTATTTTAGGTCGTACTCACCGACGATGACAACAACACAGCTGAGTCGAGTTGTGCTCTCACCGTCAAACTTCCTGGAGGAATTGAAATTGTTAAAGGACTCGAGGATACTACCGTACCCCAGAAACAGACCGGTGTGCTCGAAATTGAGACCAGCCGTCCACCGAAAGCAGGTCAAATGGTACGGGACCCCTTGAAGTCATTGTTCCCTTATTTCCCATGTAACAAAGCCAAAGGGGTGGAACTTGGCTCTCACAACTTTGATGAGGTTCTTTTCAGGGTACAAGAACGGTAAAGAAATCTCTCCGTCTGATAAGGCACAACCGAAGAAGGTTGGAGATAACAAATATCAACTGGTGATCCCCGATGCTGGAAAGGATGACAGCGCTGACTTACAAGGTACGGTACCCTTTCTATTTCGAAAAAACTTCGGCGCAATCTCAAGATAGGGGGGTATTGTTACGGCAATGCATTTGAAGTCGCGTGAGACACCTCCTGTTGTCTGATGAATCTCTCGTGCAAATTGAGGCTGAGCCTTGGGCAAGGAAGAAGTTTTCAGGGTGCGTAAGCCATTCATTCCTTCCAGAGTTTGTGTCTCTTGCTACGCTTAGCCCCAGGTTATGCCCCCTGATATTGCGATAGCGCCGAAATTTCTATTGGAAAATCGGAAGCTGTACAATCTACTATTTTAGGTCGTACTCACCGACGATGACAACAACACAGCTGAGTCGAGTTGTGCTCTCACCGTCAAACTTCCTGGAGGAATTGAAATTGTTAAAGGACTCGAGGATACTACCGTACCCCAGAAACAGACCGGTGTGCTCGAAATTGAGACCAGCCGTCCACCAAAGCAGGTCAAATGGTACGGACTCCTTGAAGTCATTGTTCCCTTATTTTCCCATGTAACAAAGCCAGTGGATGGAACTAGGCTTTTCACCAACTTCGATAATATTCCTTTTTTCAGGTACAAGAACGGTAAAGAAATCTCTCCGTCTGATAAGGCACAACCGAAGAAGGTTGGAGATAACAAATATCAACTGGTGATCCCCGATGCTGGAAAGGATGACAGCGCTGATTACAAGGTACGGTAACCCTTTCTATTTCTTGAAAAACTTCGGCGCAATCGCAAGATAGGGGGTATTGTTATGGCAATGCACTTGAGACTGCGTAAGACATCTCCTTTTGGTGGAATCTCTCTTCATTCGCCTAAGCATAAGACTAAGCCTTAGGCAAAGGAAGAGATTTCAGTGGGAAAAGAAGGAAAGAAAAGAGTGAAGAAAAGTGCGTAAGCCATTTTCGTTTTCCACGGGGTTGGTGCTTATTGCTACTCGTCCCAGGATATGCCCCCATATACTGCGATAGCGCCAAAATTTCTATTGGGGCAACTTATATTGTTAGTGTCACATTTACTATTTAGGTCGTACTCACCGACGATGACAACAACACAGCTGAGTCGAGTTGTGCTCTCACCGTCAAACTTCCTGGAGGAATTGAAATTGTTAAAGGACTCGAGGATACTACCGTACCCCAGAAACAGACCGGTGTGCTCGAAATTGAGACCAGCCGTCCACCGAAGCAGGTCAAATGGTACGCGCTCGCTATGTTCATGTAGTGCGATTTTTTATTTGAAATGAATAGTTATTGATTAGTTTGGTGGTAAAAAAGTAGTGTACCATATATTTAGGTACAAAAATGGAAAAGAAATCTCCCCGTCCGATAAGGCACAACCGAAAAAGGTTGCTGACAACAAATACCAACTGGTTATCCCCGATGCTGGAAAAGATGACACAGCTGATTACAAGGTACTGGTCTGATCGATACCTCGAGAAAAATCGATGGCTGGAAGGAATATTTTTTAGGTTGTACTCACCGACGATGATGGTAATACGGCCGAGTCGAGCTGTGCTCTCACAGTGAAGCTCCCATCTGGAATTGAGATCGTCAAAGGACTTGAGGATACTACCATACCTAAGAAGCAGACCGGAGTGCTCGAAATCGAGACCAACCGACCGCCTAAGCAGATTAAATGGTGCGATTTGATTTCGTTCCTTTCCCTGAAGCTCGTTTACAAAGTCAGCTAAGGGTTACCAGTGGCCCGAAATTTTGCTCAAATTAAGATTTTTCTGACATTCAGGTACAAGAACGGCAAAGAGCTGACACCATCTGACAAGGCGCAGCCGAAGAAGGTTGCCGATAATAAGTACCAATTGGTCATTCCCGATGCCTCCAAGGAAGACACTGCCGATTACAAGGTATAGTTGCAGTTGAGGTCTGAGCCGGGCACTGGGTAAAGCTGGGTTGTGAGGTTCCAATTGAAGCCCCATATCTCTCGTTCTCACTCGTTCTTTGGTATCTATGACTGAATCGATTTGAGTTTTTCACAAGGAGACCAAATTTTTTGCGTGAATTGAGCCCTGCAGGACCTTTCAGTAGGGTAGTAATTTGCTCAGAATCGCGGAATAGGGCGCTCATGTCATGGGGAGATTAAAGTAAGTGGGCCAATTTGGGCTTGGAACTAAGCCTTAGGAAGGAGAAGTGGATTCTGTGTGAGGATGTGAGCAATTTTTGTTCTCCCTGGCGTTTCTCCCATCTCCTGGGCTTATGGTTATTCCTAAGGTCACTTACCAGCGGCCCTATTCGTCCCCCCTCCGCCTCTAAGGATCTGAGCGCCCCATTAGAATTCAAAAGATATATATCGAACAGGAGAACAGTAGAATGGGAGATTCCGCGGGGCTCATCTGCGATCGAATCCATCGGTCCTGCCCTCGCACTTCTGAGAGTAACCCACCATTCCTTGCCTTTCCTTTTCTTTCCATTGAACCATATTCCGGATTCTTCGTTTTCCTATACCCCTAGGGCACAGAATGCAATGTCGTTCTGCTCGTCATAAGTCCTGGTCGGTTCCACTCAGTAATACTCGTTCCCACTAGCCTGCCATGGTTTGAAGTCGGCCTTCAATCTCTCCTCCTAAGTACAAGCCTTCCTGGACTTTCCAAACCAATCGTCCTCTTTTCATTAAATCTCTCAAGTTGATCGATTCTTGATGTGAATTTGAATTTTGAAAAATAGATTTTTTTCTAGGTTGTGCTCACCGATGACGACGACAACACAGCCGAATCGAGTTGTGCCCTCACAGTTAAACTTCCAGCTGGCATTGAGATCGTCAAAGGTCTCGAAGACGCAACGGTACCCAAAGGAAAGAAAGCTGTTCTTGAAGTGGAATCAAGCCGATCACCGAAGCAGGTCAAATGGTGGGTGTTTTAGCTTTTTGAGCAAAACTTTGGCTTTTCTTCCTCCAGTCTTTCTAGATTTACGTCGGCGATCACTTTTCTTGATAGATTTCATTATCGAGCTATGTGAAATACCTATGTAAAAGCAATTTTTGACCAATTTCATTTTATAGGTACAAAAATGGAAAAGAACTTACCCCATCCGATAAGCCAGAGGTGAAGAAGGTGAACGATACCAAGCATCAGTTGGTCATTCCGGATGCCAGCGACGAAGACACTGCTGACTATAAGGTAAGGTGTTTTCGCTGTGTTCGCGCTCTCTTCCGCACACTCGAAAGGAGGGGCGTTTTTGAGACATTCGAAGGCTTTTTTTCCAAATGTAAATTCAACTTACGGGCAAATTTTAGGAAAATAGCGCCCTCATAATAAGTGCTAAAATGAAGTTTTGAGAGTGAACAACTTCTAGGTACTGTTTCTAGGCGCCATTAACCAGTGTAACCCTTCACGTACGGGCGGGGTTGTTTAGTTCTTGTCCCCAGCTGGTCATGCCAAATGGAATTTTCACATTGTGATAATCGCTGATAAGACAAAAATCTTTACAAACTGGGGTGAACGCTAACAAGTAAGAGCCTCCCAATGTATAAGTAGGGTCAACCGTGCGTTGCCCATTTCCCAACGGAAGAACGCGGGGTCATATTTGGGTTTGGGGAAGGTCCTAGTAGTGGTGGGGGGGGGG